AATGTAAGCCCCGTATAATTGCAGTTGCCCTGTACTGTAATTGCCCACATGAGTTACACAACTATAGTTACTCTATTGTATTGCAAAGTATGGCCTCTTTTTCTCTGCAAAGATTATTGCAAGGAAATTTTTATTTTCTTTTAAATAGTTGGACTGAACAAGGAAGAATTTTAGTTGTGAATCTTGAATTTTCATATAGAGTTTGAATTATTTTTCTCCTTGTAACATTGTTTTTCTCCATCAGAAAAAAAGCCTACACAAACAGATGAATGACTGGACATAACTACTGAAAACAGAGGGTTTGGTATGCAGAATTTTTGAAACATAGTGATAAAGAAGTGTGGATCACATTGGTCGACTCAGCTGACAGTAACAGTGCAGAGTAAATTCCATAACAAAATTTCTATTATAAATACTTTGTATACAGAACCACTCTGAATTCCATATGTTTTAATTTTCTGTGGTTTGCAGAAGTAAAATAATATTTTTAATCAAAGTAGTCATTAATGCTTCCATAGAAACTGAAATGATGAACAAACTTCCCTATATATTATGTGACAATGCTATATTGCTCCTAATATTTTACCCATTTCTAAAGCAGAAAAGATTAAATCGTGATTTTCACAGCTTTGCCGTTCAAAGGCACGCTCCCTCCATCCAATTCCCGCTATGAAGAGATAGCTCCCTCCCCTGGAGCACTCTATACTTGCACTGCAAACGTGGAAACTAGAAAATTACTGAATTCGTCTGTTTTAAAGACCCTTTGATCTATAGCACGAAAACAAAGGTATTTTGAATTGACTGAATACAGAAGTAAAGTCATGAGCGCATGGATTGATGCTACTGCAGGAATAATTTCTGTGGAACTGCTGCCACCGCCACCAAGTTCCTCAGGCACAATTGTACCCCTGGAAAGACACCTTATTTGTTGTGTTGTTGTTGATTTTTTATAATGGTTGTCACACTGATTTATACAGGCATATTGAATGATCAGTTTTCTTTGATTATATAGCACATTTGAAAAGTTTCAAGATTGTTGTAGGTTGAACTCCAGTGAAACAAATAGGTTCAACTTCAGTGTATTTGCAACTGAAAATTAAGCGTATTTCCCTAGCCAAAACAAAACACGTTTTGGGAATTTGAATATTCTCTGTAGAAGGAACCGCGAACAGGTGTTTCTGAAGGTGGATCAGAGAGGAAAAAAATGAAGAAAAAAATACTGTAAATATAGTGAAAATAGTGTAAATCGTGTAATTTCTATGAAAGACTTCTGAGCAGGGAGACTGATTTATTGATTCCTCCACTGCTCAGAAAATAGAACTAAAATATGGAACAAAGAAGCTTGTCTTCATTACCACTTTTTTCCTTCATGGAAACCTGAATTTTGTCTAGTTTCTTGCATGAAAAGGAAAACATGATTACTATATTGATTCATTGCTTCACTAAATTAACCCAACTTTTAAAACTCGATTGCCACGTAAAGCTGCATATTTTACTGCCAAAACACATGCACACAAACTTTTAGTTGTAAGATTTAATACTTCTTAATCTATTTAGTGTTTAACAAAGCAATTTAAGCAAATAATCAGTCCCATAAGCAATGGAATTTAAGAAGCCTGATTCGAATTTGATTGAAATTGGCCAACAGGATCAAAAACTATTAGAAGGGGGCTGACAGACCAACTTTCAAACAGAGATCACAACCTGTCTTGCACATCTTGTTTTCCTCAAGAAGCAGGGATTTAAAAGAACACTGTGGACCAGAACAGAATTTTAAATAATTAGTAATATACTAAAAGCTTAGAAATTCATGTTTAAGGTGACTGTATAATGTAGAATTCAGATTAGATTAGGAAAGTATAAACAAACCACAAATAGCTGAAGTTTGCTAAATCCGTAAGATGCAATCTCCCACTAACACAACTACAATGGTACCAGTTTTGCCTAGGGTTTACGGCGTGAACAGCTTTGCCAACGTAATACTTAGCGGGGTTTTGCAGAACAAGTATTACTCCCATAGGAGTAAAATCCTTCTAATGTAGAAGTAGCCAATTATCCATTTTACAGATTTTCTTTGCCATACATTTTGTGTAACATAAAATGGGAAATGAGACTGAAATACAAAAGGTGCTAATTTTCTGCAGTTTTTCTAATGAAATGACACTGTTCAATACAGAAACAAACAAGTAATATCTCCATTTTACCTAAACCAGAAACCAGAAGTGTTTTCTAGAACAGAGGCAAGCTATGGGTTTTTTTTCCCTGACATTATTTTATCAGCATGTGGCTGGTTATTCATTTCCTGAAGAAAAAACAATAATCAATGCCTGCCAGCATATGCTTTTCATTTAATTAGGAATAAAGGACTAGAAAGAACCACCTAGGTCATCAAATCCAGTCTCTAATTAAACACTCTTCAAAAATATTGATTAATCAAAGCTGCATAAATAGGGTAGGTTTTATAACATTGTACTCCTCTGCAGAGATTGTAAGTCATCTTCTGATTTAATCTTTCTATAGTATTTTTGTACCTTTCCAGCACTTTTTTCTTATCTGTTATCTACCTGTTCTGGCAAAGACAAAACACTTGCCCCAGGACAGAGCTCTACTTATGCAGACCAGCTGATCTGGGTATATGACGACTGGCTGGCCACGTAAATTAACACTACCTTCTGCTTGCCTTTGCTCTGAGATAACCCTATATCCTATTTCTTTTCACTTACCAGTTGATTTTGCAGAAAATATACAGGGACTTATGCAAATTTTGAAATCCTGAGCCTATAAGAAGTTTGGTTAACACTAGCTAAGTATTTAACATCTGATTATTTCGCATACATACCCCCCCCCTTAAATATTAAGGAAAACTTACATGAAAAGATGTATCAGACTAATAGCTATGAATCGGATACTTAGGCTACTCCTAAATAATTTGTTTATAAAGATTTTTTTAATATAAAGAATGACAATTATTTTCAATGCAAAGAGCTCATCATTTAGACATTAGATTTTCAGTAATTTTATATGACAAATCTTCACAATGTTTTGAGCTGGGAATTAGCACTTGATCTATAATTATATCTTGGTGTTTATTTTCATACTTACACGCTTCAAACAATTGAAGAAATTGGCCATATCTAAAAAGATAAATGGATTCAATGCTAACAAATCCATTAATGCGTTCTCCCTATATTTAATGTATTCTTGACTATAAAAGATGCTGCTGCTTTTGGGAATACACATTTTAAACACTAACTGGTAAAATAATTTTGACTAAAGAATGATACTTTTTTTTTTTAACTGGAAAGTAACTGCAATTGATTTTGTCATATTAGAAGGAATACATTAAATTACCAGAAACATTAAATGTCAAATTCAAATTTATAGAGAAATAAGGGAAACCCAATTCATTTAATGTATTTGACATTAATTTCTCTCATTTTGTTTAAATGAAGAGCCTATAATTTAAGTCAGATACACTTCTATGGACTGACCTGTAAAAATATGAAAACAGAATTTTTCAGATGCAGCAGCACATTCCACAGCCTGGAATCTCTCTCCTATTGTTTCTGCAGCCTGCGGTCCAAGTCCTTAAATGGCATTTTATATGCACAGCTGCCAAATGTCAGAGGGTTTGAACTATTTATTACAGCCTGGACAACTGCAGACTGTTGAGTTTTAAATTACCAGAAGGGTCTACCTGGCATCTGTGTGGAGAAAAGCTTGGGATTGCTACCTGTCCTGGAAGTCCTTTCCTCAGAGACAGGGAAGAGAGAAAAGGCTCAATATACACCACTTTACATCCCATTTCTGGGACTGATTCATCGTGAGGCCTAGCAGCCTTAGATATTTCGACTACAACTCCTATCCCCAGCAACTCTTAACCGAAAAGGTGACACTAAACCTCACCCACAGAATACCAAAGGAAACAGCCCCACCCCACCCAATGGCTTTGGCGCCAAAAGCTCCGCCGCCGACCTGCCGCGCATGCGCTCTGGCCCGCAGCCGCTCTCCTCAGCCGACCCGTCCAGGATCTCGCGAGATCTGTGGCTCTCGCGACAGTTTCCTCGCGCGCTGCCCGCCTGCTGTCGCTCGCCGAGGCAGGCAGCGGAGGAGGCTCCGGCTCGGCGGGGCGCGGAACGGAACGTTGCTCCTTCGGGTGTGCGCGGGAGGTGGCGTGGACCTGTCCCCCCTGAGAAGGCAGGCGAGAAGCCCTCTTCACCCCACTTCCCGCCGGTGGGAGAGGGAGAGCTCACCGCAGTGCCTGCGCGCTTCGGGGCTGCTCGGGCGGCGTGAGGGGAGCGGGGCCTCTGGGAGACCCTCAGTCTCCGTGAGAGTTTCGCAGCCCGGAGGTAAGGAGCTCACCTCCGAAGGTCAGTGTAGAGGGAGCTGCGTGGCGTGT